CACGCTTGAGGTATTCGGCCAATCACAACGCACTGGATAGCTGGCCAATCAGCGTACACCTCACTTTTCAGACTGATGAGCTTTGTAAAAATCGACACGTTTCAGAAAGGCGGGGCATAGAGGAGAAACAGTAATGTACAGTATGTGGAAAAAGTTTTTTTTAAGTTTTTTGAACTTTAAACCACATAAACACACTTCATTACACCAAATACACAAAATAATGTTCTTTTTAGCAGCATCATAGGACCCCTTTAAAAAGAAATGTATACCTGTATAATGCAGTTTTTCACATTTGCTATGACACTAAATCCCATTCTCTGAACCAAATTCTCAATGGCCTAAACCAATTTGTCAAATAAATCACTCTTTCTGCAAAACCTTAAACAATTTCAGGCAGTTTAGACACTGTTTGCAGATCTCATGCACTCTTTTTGCAAAACTCTAAACACATTATCACTCACTAAAACACAATTTGCACTGTGATAAACTTGTGATGCATTTTTTTTTTTGTTTACTGTGTTGAGACGTGCTGACATTGCGTTTGGTCTCGTAGTGTATCGCATACCTTGTCAGTGTCGTGCGCTTGCTTAGCCCTTTGTTGTGATAAACAGTAAAGTGTGTTTAAGCGCTAGCAAAAGACAGTGTAAAGAGATACTCTTTGAGAGAAGCAGTCAATCAGTGGAAGTTAAAAGCAGATCGTAAGTGTATTTATTTATTGTCTCATTAGTATTTAGTGCAGTTGTCGTTGCTAGGAAACACTTGTTTTGTTTACTGCATTGAGACGTGCTGAAGTTGCGTTTGGTCTCGTACTGTATCACATAACTTGTCAGTGCCGTGCGCTTGCTTAGCCCTTTGTTGTGATAACCAGTAAAGTGTGTTTAAGCGCTAGCAAAAGACAGTGTAAAGAAATACTCTTTGAGAGAAGTCAATCAGCGGAAGTTACAGTTTTTCTTGATTGCCAATACACAATTCATGAAACAATTCACCATTTTCTCACAACTATAAACACAATCTCAAAACTATACACCAACTTGTGCAAACTTCAAAACCTGTCAAATACACAGACTATTTTCCTGCCTAGAGAACACTAGTGAGATCAATTCAAAACACCGTTACAAAAACCTACTTTTGGGAAATAGGAATCCTTTTGCTACTCAATGACTGTTGCAGTATACGGCATAAATAGAGGGGTGCCGATTCAATTCAGCAATAAACTTTAAGAAAAGTTTACTGTCATTACACTACTGTAAAGAGA